GAGCTGCCTGTGAGTGGTGACGTAACATACTGGCCATCGTAGCTCCACAGCCTCCACGATAGAGTCATTTACCATGGCTTTCGCTTTTACCTATCCGTACGTTGTGTTTTTTACTACAGTATCCATACAACGTAGGGAACTCTGTGCCACCACTTGAAAAGAGGAAATTTACTCGTTAATCCGATCCGTATGCTTTGCTTAGCAGTCTGTCAAAACGATTTTTTGAGAAATACTGAAAGTTTCAAAGAGATCTTCGTCCTAGAAGTATTCTAAATAAATGTGACGAATACAACCCCGGGGGTACAAAATGACCCCAGGGCTTACGGATAGGGTTACGGACTTAGATGGCACAAAACAATTATGTCCGATCAGCTGCAAGCCAAAGGCAATGTTGTGGTTCCTTTCCAACCATTAGAAATATATACTCCTGAAACACGCTAAACGTGTATATTTTTTAGTTTTAGTCAGAGTTTTACGGCACTTGCAACCCAATAAAATCATATACGTGCCGAAGATTAGAAGTGTTACAAGAGAGTAACAAACACAAAAAAGGAGGAGAGATCAGGACGATAGATATTCGATAGGAACGAAAGAGCAAACCATACCAGTGCACCCGCCAATCACCCACTGTGCATATTTTGAATAGTACATATACACATGTTGTTGAATGTCCTGTTATTTTTTTCAATGAAGAAAGCGTAATTGAATTATGAAAAATATGAATAATTGCTTGACAGGCGACTGGACTCCTCTTAGAGTAAATGCCAAAGCAGGATACTCAACATCCAGTGGAAAGACTTCATTACGAACAAAGAAGTAAGAGAATGATCCCATTAGGTTTCAGTTTCAGTCTAAGTAGAGTTTTTACGGCGCTCGCAACTGCATCCCATCAGGAACTGATGAAAAACACCATATTATAATGCGAAAGAAGACAACGAATGTTGGACCAACATATCCTTTGACTCCCAAACTCGAGAAAATTCCCTTCAGGCTGAGTATTGGAAAATCGATGGGAAAAGAGGAAGGGGACAACCAAAGATGAACTGGAAACTGACTATAGCGAAAGACCAAAACTAGTAGGCAAAAAATGGAGTGATGTCCTCGCCTTAGCTTCAGACAGATCTTCCTGGCCATCTCTGATTGCCTCATGTGTCTCAAGACGTGGGAATCTCTATGTCTGAGTAAGCTTTCTTTTTTTTAAGTGCCATAATCAACTCGTCTTTGGGAGTTTTCGAATGGCGAGAACACGCGTCCCCAAGGAAATAAAAAGTTTAAAAAGTACATGGACTTTTAGAAGTTATTCCGGGGATTTATCATAATTATCTTCCATTCCACACGGCATGCTTACATAATATAAGGTTCTCGGAGCTCCATAGCTCATATAGTAATTGTACCATTTTCAGTGGCACTGCCAACATTGCGTAAATAATTCTAGTTTAGTGTCCTCTGCTGCAGCCCAGTTGATCTCGTTATGTGACTATAACTAGAAGGCAAAAACTGTAATACATCTTATATAATACATCTTATATTGCCTGCTTTGTTTTCTACATAGATTGGTCGTCTATCGGAAAATAATAAATGCAGTCACGACCATGAGTAACGAGATTCTACCTCAAAATAGTTACCTATATAGGGTTAGAGTGCCTTTACTGTTAGGAGTTAAAGAATCTGTCCTCCGTACGCCCTCTGCATCATTGTACTGACGTATAAAGCCCTATTCTAGTAGTCTCCGAGATAAGCAATCTTAATTTGTTCTTCTGTAGCGGTAGATACACGGCGTTAAAACTTTGAACTCAGATAATAATATCTCAATATTGGTTGCATCTAAAAATGAACCCTGTTATTCTGGGGTCGAACGGTGCCTTTGTTAATTAGTAAATGCCATTCGGTAAGCGTAGGGCCGCTGCATTTGGACGAACGCACAATGTTACCATCAGTAATCAATAACCCTACGGTACATGCGAGAGGTCTTTAGGGGTTTAGTGAGGGAGTGCTGGCTCTTCTTACCCGCACTGGGTCAAGTCATTATACACATTTTGTATCCCATGTTGCCCTCATGTTTTGTTTTCCCCTGCTTCGGCCCATGAACCCATAGCAACCAGAGCTGGGCGAAGAAACGATTTCGGAACCGATTTCCACGGTTAATGCTACGAAAGAAAAGTTCCGACTTCTTTTTATAATGGAAACCAACGGTTACCAGTTATTTTCATCATTAAAATCTTCTTTTGTTTTTAGAATTTATTTTTAAAAAATAAAAGTTGAAGCTTCGTGGTGTTCCGATCTCAAGGTTGTCCTAAATCCTGAAGATGTTCGGAACCAACCTGGTAACCACCGAAAATAATTAGAAAGTAAGTAATT